CTCCAGCTGCTGGTGACCCAGTGTCAGCTGAGAGCCTGGCTGTGTCCCCCGAGTGTGACAGCACACAGGGCTGGAATCCTGGGCCTGGGAGCAGAACCCTACCTGCCTGCCGGTTCCACCTCCCTGCATCAGGCCAGCTAGCTCTGACCCACTGTGCACTCCTTGGCACTTAGTCCCACTCTGTCCTTTCTATAGCCCGTCCCTGTCTTCTGCTGGACAGGCAGAGTTCTAGAATGTTTATTCTCTGGGGTGCCTGGGGGGCTCAGTCGGTTGAGCTTCCGACTTCGGCCCCAGTCATGATCTTGCGGTTCATGGGTTTGAGCCCCACATCGGGCTCTGTGCTGACAGCTCGAAGCCTGGAGCCTGTTTCAGATTCTGTGTGTCCGTCTCTCTCTGATCTTCCCCTGCTCACACTGTCTCTCTCTCTCTCAAAAATAAATAAAAGACATTTAAAAAAATTAGAATGTTCACCCTCTCAACATTCTCTCCTGAGCCTTGGTGGAGCCAGGACCTTGCCCCACCCCCACCCCCCCCGCCCCGGTGTCTGCAGCCCATCTAGGCTCTGTACAGCCTGGGACCAGACCTGTGCCCGTCTGTGCAGGCTCAGCCGACTGCCCTGGCCAGAGAACGGGGTCACCTGCTCGATGGAGGTTTAGCCTGAGCTGCAGCCCCGTGGGGTGCCCAAGGCCTCGTGCAAGTGAGCCGCTTGGGGCCCGAACTTACCATCTGTGGACTGGAGAAGCTTGAGGGTGTATATGTCAGTGGTTTCCTCTGCGCTCCTTATGAGTCCAAAGGAAGAAGATGCTTTAGAGATTTTGCAAAATTGTGAATAAAGTTCTGTTACTGTTTCCTCAGCTTTGCACAGAAACGTGTTTGCTAAAGACCAGCGTGAACCCCACCTGCCATCCTCCTTTGCCCCCAGCAGGCTGGCTCTGGCTGCGCACTTCACACTTTCGGGCAGCGTAACCTGCGCTTACCTGCCAGCCGTGTCCATATGCACTGGGTAAAGGTTTGCTTTGAGTTTGGGTCTGGTGATGGCTGTCGGCATGTTCATGGGCCCACACTGGCCACGATGCTCCCCAGGGGCCAATCATTCCTCCCAGATGGACAGCACCACCCTGTCCTGGTCCTTCCCAGAGGCACTGGCCCGCCCTGGGTCTCCTGCAGCACCGGGCAGGGAGAAGACAGGCGGCCAAGGTATGGCAGGAGAGGCTGTGCGGGGCCGGAGCTGCCATCCGCAGTCGTCTCCAGGAAGGCCATTAAAATGTCTCCTGCTGCTTCAGAGTGAGCCGTGTCCTCTGTTCCTTGAAAGGAGGTGTGTGAGGTGGGGAAGATGTTAAAGGGCCGCAGCACAAAGATGGTCCTCAGTGACTGTGGCCTGTTTCCCCCAGCAGACAGACACCCGCTCACAAAGGCCGTGATCGATAGTCACGCCAACTGCTCCTTCAAGCACGAAGCACTTCATTCCGAACTCCCAGAGGCTCGCGGAAATGCCAGTGACCCCAGAGTTCACCTTAAGCTTGGAAGTAGTAGTTTAATGTTTTATGAGTTTTTTCTTCTTTGCTTCCCAAGAAAGGCTGAGGTGGACTGGAGAGGACAGCCCAACGAGAAGGGTCAGCCATCGAGTGCTAGCGTTGCAGGCCGGAGCCATGGGCTCGTCACACACGTGGGGTCCCTTTCTGCCCTTCTGTGTGTGGGCATGGGCAGGGCAGTCTGCTGGCCAGTAGTTTGAACCACTCACTTGGGGAACTTTGGCCAGGATTTGTGGAAATGTCAGGAAAAGTTCACTCTTCTGGGAGGCCAGCCCTTCTTGGTGCCTGAGGCCCTCACTATCTGTCACCCTCCATCCCCACGGGGCCAGGGTCCCCGCCACGGGGCCAGCCCCTTGAGTGTGCCGCTCACCATTCCTCTGTCTTCATGGAGTTTATATGTAGAAGTGGGTCTGTCTTGACTCCTTGTCCCCAGCCTGAGCTTTCCTTTCCTTTGGAGCTAACTGGACACCTAAATGGGGACAGGGGTCTGCACTTGCTGTCTCCCAGAGCTGTGCCCTCGGCCCCTGAACCCTGCCCTGTGTGCTGCCCCCTGGACGGCCCCTCCTGAGGCAGTGACCCACCTGGGTGTTTGCTTCTTGACCATCCTGTGCCCGTTGCAGTGACTGAGTTGTGTGAGGACTCTGGCCCCCTAGCCCCACACTCTCCTCCCCAACTCAGGTCTGACTTGATAGTTCCGAAAGCACGCACCTTTTCCCCACAGGGCTGGCCCCGTGGTGGGGATCCTGACCCCGCGGGGATGGAGGGTGACATAGTGAGGGCCTCAGGCACCAAGAAGGGCTGGCCTCCCTGCTCCGTGATGTCAGGGCCCTCTCTCCTTGTTGCAGCTCCAGCTTGATAGGCAACAACAGCAGCCTTGCGTGTCACATTCTCTCACTTTATGTGAGCCACGTGGTTTCTGTGCCCCATCGGCTCACAGCCCACAAGGTCGGGCTCGTGCTGGTCCCTGCCTTTGTGCGGGGCCTTCCCTGCCAGGAGAACAGGCAGCCCTTCCAGGCTGCCTAGGGCCCCGGACAAGCCTCTGCAGAGGGCGGCCCCTGTGACGCCCTGAAGAGGGGTTTCCTCGTGCCGGTCTCCTGACGCCTGAGCACGGACGGAGTGTGCACAGAGCTCATCCCTCGGCCGAGGGCAGGCTGACAACACACTCTGCTGCACTCCCAGTGCCGACTCCACAGGGTCCCGTGTCCTCTGCCCTGTTCCTTCCAGAACATTCTGGTTTTGTGGAAGGCATTCACCATTGGGACAGACAGGTTCTCTCTCTCTTTTTTTCTTAATGCTCATTCATTTATTCATTTTTGACATAGTGTGAGCAGGAGAGGGGCAAAGAGGGGACAAGGATCCCAAGTGGGCTCCACGCTGCCAGTGCAGAGCCTGATGCAGGGCTGGAACCCCCAAACCTGAGATTGTGACCTGAGCCGAAGACGGACGCTTCCTGATTGAGCCCCGCCCCCCGCGCCCCTGAGGCAGGTTCTCTTCCTTACTGGGCACGAGGGCTCTGCCAGCCTGGGCCCAACAACCCCCCCACCCCTCGTGGACGCCCCCAGACTCATGGTACTGCCGCCTCTCAGCTGGCGCGCTGGTGTCTGTGATGTGCAGGACTGGGCCGTGGGCCCCACCAGGTCCCAGAGCTAAAGCCCTCTAGTGCTGTGAGGGGGGATTTGGGCACAGCGAGCTGGCAGCCAGCGGACTGAGACCTAGGAATCCTGCGCACCCGCCTGCCTCCTGGCCACCTGCCCTTGGTGGGGAGTGTTCTGGTTTGACCCCTTCATGGATGCGCAGGCAGCGCTCTCCTATGGGGCAGGGGGCCTGGGCTTATCAGACTCCCCCAAGGCTGTCCCCACCAGGCCTGCGCTCAGGGCTGCTTGTCTGAGGCCCCTTAGCCTTGAGCTCGGTTGGATGGCGGCTCGGCCTCACGTGTGTGAGCAGGGACGCTGCCAGTTTGTCGAACGCCGATTCAAGGCACTCATGAGCTCTCCGCCTAGGTCTGGTAGTTTTGGAGTCGGTCTCAGCCCTGGGTTATTAAGTTGGCCTATGCATTGTGTTAAGTTGAAATAGAACTGAAAATAGCCTCTTAATCGGTCTGTTTCGAATGACTATTTGTACCTGTTTTTTAAAAAATCTTACCTCATGTTTTTGTGAAGGTGCAAGAGGGTTCAGGTGCAGTCGGTCATGGTTCCCTTGAACCCTTGAGGTATGGACAGGGGTCCCTGCATCAGGCCGGCCAAGCTTCCCACCTGCTCCCTCAGTGACTCACGCGCACGCTCGGACTGAACTACGTGATGGGAGCAGAAACCGCACACTCGGGTGCGGGAGGGAAGACGTGGGCTTGGGCACGCCGCCTCTGAAGGCAGCGCCCCCTGCCGCCCTGAGAAGTATGGTTTCCTTCCAGCATGTGGTCAGAGTGGGAAGGATGCGGTGGTAAGGCTGGGTGTGACAGGAGCCCATAGGTACCCTCCCCGGTGGGGCCCCGGCTCTCCCGTGCTGCCTCTGTGAGCGCCCCATGTGTCAGCTGACAGCATGGCCCTGAAGACCCCTCATTTCTGATGCAGGGTTGGCTCCTCACTGGGGTCCTTTCCAGGGCCGCCTCCCCTCATGGCCCCTCCCCTGGTCGTCGTCCCCTCCATCAGGCCACGGGGACGACCACTCAGTGTGCAGTCGTGAGGCTGTGTGATATCGGGCCTCAGGGAAGGTTTCAACGAGTGCTGGGTGCCGGCTGCCGTGTGCTGTGAAGGAGTGTGTCGGGAACAGGGGCGTCCTGGGCAGGACTGAAGGGCTGAGGGCATTTTGGGGCAAAGACCAGGCTCTGAAGGCACTTAGGGCTGGGCCAGGGAATGGGTTGTTAGCCTGTGGGCGGTCAGGAGCCCGGGGCCCTGACCTGGACCCCCTGCTATTGTCTGCCCCCTGAAGGGATGACTTGGATGGGGCCCCGGTGGGACCCACGGGCAAAGTCCACGTGCTGGGGGTCAGGCCTGTTGGGAAGAGCTGCCATGGGGTACCCCGGCTGCTGTCGGAGCCCTGGCTGGTGTCTGGCAGGGCAGTGTTGGGGGGGCCCGCCTCCCCGTGGCGGGGGCTCCCCCACACCCACTGCACATCTGGCTGTCGTGATCCGGATGGAAGTGCTTGCTGGTAATTTAGCTCATTCAGAAGTGCCGTCTCCCGAAGCGCTGTGCTGCTGACAATTTTTCCCATTGTGTGTGGGGGTGAGTGCCCCCCTCCCTGCTGCCTGCCGTGTTCTGGGATCACCCTGGGTGCCTCTTTGAAATCCAGAAACTCCTGAAAAGCTCTAAGTAGCTATTCACAAGTGAGGAAATGGCAGCATGCCGGTTGCACGTGCGGCTCTATTTTGGGACCTATGTGATGGGCTCATCCTGGCCCCAGAGGGTGTGTGGCTGGGGCGCCGTCTTGCGGGCCAGGCCTCACCACTCTGCCCTGTTGCCTTTTCCCCCGCAGCGCCCGTGGGCTGGAGAAGGTCCGGCAGCAGCTCCAGGATGAGGTCCGCCAGGCCAGCAGCCAGCTGCTGGCAGAAAGGAGGCGGCGGGAGACGCAGGAGGCCCTGGCTCGGAGGCTCCAGAAGCGGGTCCTGCTGCTGACAAAGGTACGCACTGGGCGGGGTCCCCAGGCCGGCCCCTCTTGGGGGCCCTGCTGTCGTGGCTGGTGGCTGCTAGCCCATCCCCATCACAGCCAGCCTTAGAGCCTGGGCCCTGGGCCCCCACGGTTCTTAACATTGCCCCCAGACTGAGGGCTATCTGCGATGCCCGCAGTGTTCTTGAATCACAGGAAAGACTTCTCCAAACCCTGGTGGTCCCTTTGGGACTCAGAGGGCCCACACCCTTTTAGACGGCTATATGGCGACCTTGTGCTCCTGGCGAGGGGCAGGGTGGCTGGGGCTGTGCACTGACCTGGTCTCCCCCTCGAAGGCAGGGCCACCCCTTCCCTAGGCCGTGGGCGAGGGCAGCCTTCCCTTCCTTCGGTGACCAAATCTCAGTGGGTCTGAGGCCTATGGTTTGTAATGAGACCTGTCACCGGAGTTGATGCACTGGGCGTGGTGGTCTCGGTCCCATGCTCATGTGAGGACCAAGCTCTCTCTAATTGTCCTATGCCTGGAGAGCATCTGACGTCAGGCTCGATGGAGTGCGCTGGAGCGTGAATCAGGTGTCCTGTGGGATGGTGTTATTTAAACGTTCCCGAGAGCCCGACCCTGTCCCTGAACGCTCTGCAGGCATGGATGGGGCATCCAGCTTGCTGGACAGAGACCTCCCCTCCACCCACGCCCGACCTGACCTTGTGAGGGCCGATGTCAGGGCACCAAGGTTGTTTTTAATGAGAACCTAGGCTCTTCGCCTCTGGGACCCGGTTATGAAGGGTTTAGGGCACAAGGCATGTTTCAGCTACCGAACGCGCGCCATTTGGTGGCTTCCCCAGTACGCTCCTTGGCATGCCATTGTTGTCCCTTGAGAGGCATGGCATCACTCAGGGCCCTGGGTCCAGGGCTTCCCAGGTCAGGCTCCGCCGAGCTCTGCACACAGGCCCCGGGAGCCGCCCCTTGTCGTCCGGGCTCCACAGGCGGCCACCCCGCGGCCTGGTGGCCTCTGATGGAGACGATGCGGTCCTGTTGCCTGCGTGCTCGCGGTCAGTTACAGGTGGGGGTTCAGAGCCGGCTTCTCTGTGCTCCCGCCTCCTCCCTTCCTTCCCCAGCACGTCCTGCGTGCCACCAGGTCACCTGCGCAGATGTGGGGTCACCACCCTTCTAGTGCTGGTAGTCTGGCGGGACAGGAAGGAGGGACACGTGCACTTGCCAACCGTGATGGGATTTTCGTGGGAGCTGATGCCACAGCTGAGCTGGGGCTGAACGCTCAGTTTGAATGCACGCCGAATTTGGCTTGTGGAAGATGGGGGACAGATGGGAACACGGGCAGAAGAAGTTCGTCCATGGCTCGGACGGAGGGCTGTGCATGGCCGGGCCGTGGGCCGTCTGTGCTGGACTTTCTGTGAGCCAGAGGCGAGGACAGGCTACAGTCCCTGGTGTGGGAAGCATGGGCTTTCCTGGGGTGATGGGCAGGGAGACCTTCCTCTGTGACCTTGGACAAGGCACTCTGTCCCTCTGCGTTCCCATTTTTCCTGTCCACAGGACAAGCAGCAGTGCCGCACACTGAAGTGGCCTCCTGTGCCAGCCCAATGGGCTCCGTGTGGACGGTGCTCCCGAGAATCACAGGGAAGAGACAGGGTGGTGGTTCCTGAGGAGTATCCCCCGGGCCCACCGCACCCTGCAGCACGCCCGCACCCCCCCCCCCCCCCCCCCGCCCCTGGCACTTCCCTGGGGGTGGGAATCTGGGTGTCGCAGCCCCGGTGCCAGTGCCAGTTGGCCGCTGGGCAGGGAAGGAAGGCGCCGAGTAGGTGTGTGACAGGATGTCATCGAGCCTTGAGAAGGAAGGAAACCCTGCATGTGTGACACCACGGGTGGACCTGGAGGACGCTGTGCTGGGTGACATAACACGAGGAATCTGCAAACGCTGAACTCACAAATACGGGAACAGATTGGTGGCTGCCAGAGATGCGCTGGGTGCGGGCAAAATGAGTGGAGGTGGTTGAAAGGGCCACGCTTCCAGATGGAATATGAATCCAAGGGAAAAATACAAGCCACAGATGTGGTACGTCTCTCTTTGTTGGGGGCTCTGGGTCACCCCATGCGTGTGAGCTGTGGGTCTGCCCGGAGGCCAAGGCCAGTGGTCTCCATGGCTGTTGCACGTGGGCAGTGGAGTGTGCGGCTCTCTCGGGAAAAGGAGCCTCCTCGAAGGTCCGTGGAGGCCGTCCTCCGTGAGGTTGGCGGTCACACTGGTGGAACGCTCTGCAGGTGGTGGGGGTATGTGTGGCTCATTCTGTCCTCCTCCAGGTCCCAGTGGACAGTGGGCCGCTGGTGGCCTGAGCTGCGGGACACGGGGCTGACCCCTCGGCATGGTCTGGAGCCCCTGGGTGTGCAGCGGGTGGCCGCGTCTACCACCTCCCCATCGTGCGTGTGCGCTGGGGCACAGCCTCCCACGTGGACGTGCCCACAACTGCATCTCATCCATGTCTGGCTGGAAGGTACCTTCACCTGTGTCCTCACATGGGGCAGCCTTACTCTAGGCTCCCATGGCACCTTGGCCACAGAGCGTCGTGGCTGGCACAGCGGTCTTAGCGGGGAGCCTGTGACCACAGCTGTGTGCGCACCTATGGGCGTGTGGAGCCCCGTCTTCGGGCCCATGTGCCCAGCGCCATGGGGAGCGCTCATGGCTGCATGTGCAGGGGGCCTGGGCTTCCGGCTGCTCGCCTCCAGCAGGGCAGGTCACTGCTGCTCACAGGGGTTCATCTGACTTCAAACAATTCCTGGTTTGGTTTTTAATGAACTTTGTTTTCTAGAACATTCTGAGATTTAGAGAAAAATGGTGAGCTCTCCTCACCTGTGCCCCGTGTCCCTGGAACTGACACTTCACGGCAGCACAGTCGTTAGGGCTCATGATCCGGGCCCAACCAGGGTGGCTGACTGAAGTCTGTGCTGTCCTCCTGTTTGCTTCGTGTCCCCTCAGCCCTTTCTCTGTCCTGGATCCTACACACTGAGCCATCACCTCTCCTTGGCCTGTGTCACCTCTCGGACTCCTCGTTTTGGATGAGTCCAGTGCCAGGAGTGCCACATGGGCGGCGCGTGACAGGCACTGGACGGGGCTGTGTCCGAGGCTTTCCTCCCAGGCCCCGAGGGACGGGGCGACCCTGCAGGGAAGGGCCCCGACAGTGTGCCTTACCCTGTGGATATTGACCTTGCTTACCAGGCTGCATGGGTCTGCTGGGTGTCTCCCTCTTCGGTGCATGGCCACGCCTGGGGCTGGGGGTCACACCCTTCCTCAAGGGTACAGTGACTCATTCTGAATTCTTCTGCCTGAAATTGACTCTCTCCTTCCCATTTATTCATTGAGTCGGTCACTTCCGTGTATCACATGGACTCGGGACTTATTTTAGATTGTGGTCCTAGCGTATCCCTGCTGTGGTTTATTGCCGTGGCCGCTGGGACCTCTTCCAGCTGTCAGTGGGTCTCGCAGAGTACTCATACGTGTGTGTTCTGGAGGGGGCTTCAGGCCCCTCAGGGAGGCAGGCCCCGTGTGGGGGCCAGTGTGTCTTGCGTGCACAGAGAGCCAGTGCCCTGGGACCATCTGCCTGTCAGCAGGAGGAAACGTGTATGGCAACCATGCCGTGTAGCCTGGATTCCGTAGGCGTCCTGCCAAGTGAGCACCATGCCCTCTGTTTCCCCAGATCACTGGGGTTCTCACGGATGGCGCGTGTCTCCCCCATCCTGGTTAGAATCTCAGGGGTGGGGCTCCCCGTCCACACAGGTGCTGGTGGGGGTTACCCCCTCCGTGCCCAAACTGCGCCCTGCCTTTGTGTGAGTAAGAAGCATCCTGGCTTCCTTCTTGGGCAACTTCTCTCTTGCAGGGTCACTGCTTGGGTCCCAAGGCGGGAAATTTCCATTCTTCCTCTCTCAGCAGGTTGGAAGCCAATGGCACTTCCTGGACTAATTCAGTCCTCACCCTGACCCGCTGTGCTCATAGGCCTTGCTGAGTTAGGGCGAGAGTGGCTATTGATTGCCTGGCGCTGACTGATGGCTTATGCTGACTGCCGCTCGAAGGCACATTTCCAATGGGTCAATACCAGTCTTCTGCGCAGCCCCAGGCCCGGCTCACGGGGACCCGCCTTGCCAGCCAGCAGGGTGATGAGGCTGCTCTTCAGGCCTGTCTGCGCACGAGTGTGGTCGGCCTGCTGCTCCCTGCTTGGTGCCGGTGCTCATCCACCCTCACCTTTTGAGTGACCTGGGCGCCGCGGCGCGGCACAGGCTCACCCAGTAGTTTCTGTTCAAGTCTTCCTCATCAGGGCGCCCCCAGGGCATTTCTGTTGCTGGTCTTGCCCTGTCATTGCCCGTCCCCTGGGGTAGAGGTGTGTGTGTGGTGCTCCTGGCACACAGCAGACCCACAGCTGGGCTCTGGGCTCCTGTGTCCCACCCAGGGCCGTTTGTGTGCTTGACATTTCAGTGCACGGTGTTCAGAGTGTGGGGTTTTATTTTGAGACCTTCTTAAGCGGCTCTAGTCTAGGGTTTAATTGTTACTGATAGGTGAGAGTGTAATCATCTTGGTAAAATACCACGACTATTTTAAGCAGTTGAAAATTGCCTTCCAGAAGTGGGTGAACACAAACCATTTTCCTATTTGAAATGAGCTATTTCCAGTGTGCCCCTCATATTCCACAATTTGGTTATAGAATCTTGTTATTTATAGAACCTGAGCAGTAAGAGCTAACTTTTTAGCCAGAAATTAAAAAACCAAATGAAAACATACGCTTATCTCTTATCTGCATCCTAACGGTTCCCTGAGCCCAGATTCCAGAGCTCAGTGGTCTCCGAGAGGAGCCACTGGTCCTTGGGGGCCAGAGTGCATGGCAGCTAGTGGTGACGCCCGCCTTTGGAAGGTCCCTGAGGGGGTGGAGGTCCCCCTGGGGGCAGCAGGGGTGTCGTGGTGGAGGTCGTAGGGGGGTGGTAGAGGCCCTGGGGGCAGGCACGCAGGGCTGTGGAGTGCT